AACAAGGGAAATCTCTAAGAGTTTAATTTATTTTTTATTTATTTATTTGGAAATATCCTTTCGATCATCACCTGGTGAACTAGAGTGCGTGCAAGTGTGCACACAAGTGTGGGAACTCCTGCTCAAGACCTGGCAACATTGCCAAGTGAAGCACCTTTGAAAACAAAAACAGTTAAAAATACTGTACTGTAAAAGTTAAATGTTTAAATATCTAAAGTTTGAGCACACGCTTCCCTAAAACCCAAACAACTACTTTTAAAATAATGATTACCTTAAAAGAATACTCCAGTTTTACAAGGAAAGGAAAGTTCACCGCTTGTAATATTCTCTTCTCATTCAGTGTGTGTTCTATTTGCTTCAGTTTGACAACCTAGGAGAGAAAAAGTAATCTTCACTTTAAGTACGACATTTTATAGTTGTTGACAAATTTTTCATTTTAAAACAGCTAGTTGAAAGCAAGCTTGTAACTTCACAGATAATGAAAAACCTTATGGATTACTAGTACAATAACAGTGCTGAGAAAGGATTAAAAAGGCTAAAGACATTTATAAAGAGTAATACTCATGCAATACAGTCCACAGATAACTCTACAAATAGTGTTTCTTCCTACTTGCTGAGTACAGGAATCAGTAAGGAAAACACCTCTTTACATTTTCTTAAGGATTGCTTGTGTTTGGAATGGAGATACTTCGGACCCTTTGCGAAGGAAGGCAGGAATTTGTGTCAGACATATTTAATTATGAATTTTGTTATGTGTGAACAGGAGTAAACTGACTTATTTTATAAAGCTCACACATTAGTGAGGAGAAGACTAAGGAGAACACAAATTGCAAATTTCCATTCTTGTAAATAATAGTTACTTCTGAAAGACCTTTCAATGGGTTTCACTTTTCTGCTTAGCAAATTGCTTTGCAAAAGTATTAACCAAAATTAAATGCTACCTTCCTGGAATCCATTGGAATATTAAGCTGCTAACAAGGCAGCAAGTAGCAGATTGTTGATCATTGCTCTTTCTCAGTAATTGACAATTGGTCTCCTTGTGTTAAAGCCAAATGTTGCATAATCAATTCTTTCCATTTTACTTATCTCTACTGCACAATTTATCTATAGCTCATGTTGAGAATGGCATGAATTCCAAGTAAAGTTACTTATTTTTTTCCATATGAAACAAAGGGGAAAATGTGTAAGAGTGATCAAAACAAGTCTGTCTTACATGTTTGGAAATCAAATCTAACTGCTATAAATAACGGATAAGCAAGATATTCCAATCCTGACTGAAACTGTGTTTAAATTTAACTTTTAGATGCAAAAGCTAGTACTTATTAAAAAACACTACTGTTTTGAAATAAATGTCATACAAAAGAAATAGCAAGTTACAAATATTAAATCTCTTTTGAATCACAGATATTTAGGGAGCAAATAAAATTTTTGCTCAAATCATCTCATTTGTGGGAAGTGTCCCCTTCATCCCTAAAAAGCTATGGTCCTAGAATTATCTTGGCCACCAGAGCAAGCAAGCTAAGGTTTTAGTTTGATATTGTGACGTGTTCAGCTGCCACACTAGACAAGCCTTTCCCACCCTTCCTGCATCTTCTGCTGGTTAGATACTGGAGGGTGATACAGCAATATCATAGGCTGAAGCTGCTCTTTTAACACTTCATAATATCAGACTGGAGCCTCAGATAATGACTTTGCTCACATTTGAGCTCAAGCTCAGGGCATGTCCAACGACACCTTCCTGCAGATCAAATGATACCTGGTAATGGCAGATTCTCCAACAGGTTGTTTGTGTCTGAGCTTTTATTAACAAACTTTTCTTTCAAAAAAAAAATTATGTAATGAACACAGCCAAGCAATGTTATGTTACAGCCTTCCTAAATCAAGGCAGACTAATAAAGGAATAACAACCTACAGACAAAACTACTGGCTACATCAGTATCTATTAAATTTATTACTTTTCATATTCTGATAAACCAAGCACAAGATTGGGTAACAAAGGGACACATAATATGCTTTGTCTTGTTTCAAGTAAAATGTAAGTGAAAAATTATGGGTGGCCTGCACATCGTCTCATTTCAGACATCTGTATGTTTCTATAATACACAAAGGGATATAATGTGTTCTCCCTAAATCACCTCCTAGTTTTGATCAATTAATAGAAGTTACTAATATAGCACTAATAAATTTCTAATAGAATACATAAACATATAATTATATGTATGCTAAGTTTGGTTGAAAAAGTGTGTATTTCATAAAGGAACACTTCAGTCTTGTGAAAGTGTTGTAGACAAAATAATCTAGTTTTCTAATAGGAGACAGATATCAGGATGTAAACATCTTTAATCCTGTGAATCTTTTACTGTAAGTCCACTGCAATCATTAAAAATGTGAATTTTTGCTTTTACTGGTTAGTTTTATAGCTATAGCTTTCCGATTTATTTTAGACTGAGAGTTAGCAATGAGTTTAATTAACTTTTTTTTTTTAAATCCTCAGACTATTTTTATGGCAGCTTTCTGAAGAAAGATGTAATTTCCTAAATTGTTCCAGTGACAAGGACTCAGTCATTCATGAAAAAGGGTTCAAATTTAAAAGAGATGAAAATCTGAAATTTGATGATGGGCCCTCTGTGCAGCAGTGGGATGCCAACCACATCGCGTGTTACAGCAATGCTCCCCGCAGGCCGTCACCACACATAGAGGTGATGATGAGCTATACTTCCACATGGGTGGAAATGGTCTGGGCTGTCTTTCAGTTGTACTATGTTGGAATGTCTTTTTAATTTAATAATTTAAAAAAAAAAAAAGAAGTTAGAAACCATTGGTATAGGAGAACGCTGAAGTCGCAAAAAAATTGAGCTTTTCCAAGTAAAAAAATAATGCCAGAATTGACACCTTTTAGTGTCAATGTGTTTACATTGGTTTCTTATCTGTTCATTATAAAGGAGTTTTTAATTAAATGACACATTATTCAAGGTCCAGGACCCCAAATCACATGTAAAGAATACTGGAACTGCAACTCGGAAAATGGTTTGATTAGTTCCGTTATATAAAATTACCCAGGAATGCAACAATGTGTAAGCGCGAAAGTCCACACTGAGGCAACGCCAACTTCCATTTGGTCAGCTGCTGATTATTAAGTTCTCTTTGCCATTTTAATACTTCCTTAATCTGATTTTTGTTATACAGCAGCAAAATTATGTATAGTGCCTTACAAAGTAGTAAGAATATCTCTCTGTTTTGGACCTTAGAAACTACCAATCTTGAAGTGCTTCTGAAAAACTTGTCAAAACCATCAAAACCTAATTGTACTGATAAATTTCTTAAAAGTAGTTCTTAGCATTCTGGAATTCTACCTTATTTAAAATTTAAACTTCATCAAATGACACTGCTTACTTATCTAAGAGTAGTAAACTTAAAAAAATGAAGCTGGAGTAACAATACAGATTCAGACTGCAGCACTTGAGTTTTCAACACAGAAAATGTCTGTTGTGTGATGGCTGCTCTGAGAGAGAGAGGACATACAAAAAGAATTCCTCTTGGGATCAAGAATGGAAAAGAAATTATTTGTCCAAACAATTTGTTAAATCATTTAAAATATTGATAATTTCTGATCCAAAGAGTCTTCCAGAATTTTTAGTTAATCTGCAAAGGTGTATTTATTTATTTAAACTACAGCACTACATTTTGCTTTTGCCAAAGAATATATATGCCACTTTAGAAAAGCAAAGCAAGGAATTTAACCGATAACATTTTATTAATGCCTTGGACACTACTTAGAGCCTCTTTAGCCTGCCATTAATGTTACTTGCCGTTGTAAGAACTGTACACAATCCCAACAACTGAACCTGCTGGCTAAAAAAGAAATCCAACTGCTTAGAAAGCATCACCAGTATTCAAGTGCAATAAGCAAAAACACAGTACGTGCAACAAAGTTTAGCCACAGTTGCCAGATCTTTGTCTACATCAAACACTTCTGTACCACAAAAAACACTATAAATCATACTAACCTTCTGTTTGTCCAGTATCTTCATAGCATAATACTGTTCTGTGGATTTATGTTTCACCATCATAACTCTCCCAAATGATCCTGTTCCAAGGGTTTTTTGCCTCTCAAAATCATCTAGGCTAGCAGTGTTCTGTACAAGGACAAAATTACATTTTCAATTTAATACCCAAAGACAATTTAAGTGTACCAATTGAACTCACTTATGAAAGAAAATTTCATGCCCATCAAATTTGAATAAGAGATTTTTACACTGCACTCATTAAAACAGAAAAAGACTTAACTGAATTGTATCAACATTTCTATAATTTGTCCACACAGATAACACATGCTTAGTAAGAAATATTTAGGAGTAAACAGATCGTGAATTTAACATGCAGATAGATAACCCCCCCATGATTCACAAACAAGAATATTAGAACATACACAAATCCCCAAGCTCTAGAGACAATTCTACATGAGAGTTGTCTGGAAAGACTATCACTGAATGTATTTTCTAAGATATTCATTACCACAGCATTTCAAATGCTGCTTAAAAAACAACAATGATCCTGCCCCCAAAACTCAAACTTTTAAAAGATTTATCTCTAACAAGCTCCTTAATCTGCCCCCAAGCCCCATGCAGTAGACATAATACCCCTAGTTCCCCTTAATACCATGGGGGAAATTATGAACAGGGTAAATCACAGTTGTGCCAACACTTAGAGTTATAGAAAGCCAGCTAGAACGTGCCAATAGATTTTGAGTCTTGTCATGTTGATGGTGAACATCATTCTCAGTAAGACAAAGCTGTTGTTCAGTATGAGCATTTCATCAGTTCAGATGTGGAGAAGACCTGAGAGTCTTTGCTGATGAACTTCAATGACAAAACTGACACTAAAAATGTAAACTCCTTTAAAAACTGCGTTAAACTTATTTCTGTTCTCTGTGCTGCTCATTAAAGACTGATAACACACTGATAACATTATGCAAAAAAATGCAGTAAAGAAATTAATGAACGCTTAAATGATTGATACCTGAGGGGGACTTTCCCATTTTCTTAAAAAGTCTTCTTTGGCTTTGGCTAGGAACTCTTTCACTGAAAACACACACACAGAAAGGTACATCTTAATTAATGTAACTCATCATGGGTGCAATGCAGATGCTTTGTTAACAAAATATGTAAACTTCATTATGAACTTCTTTCTTCAACTCGTAATACGCTATTTTCACCACATATGAGAGCAAGCACCAATGCCGCTAGAACTTCTACAATATCTCCAGGTGACCTCTAAGCTTTATGGAGTAACTACATCATTCTACACAAATTACTTAAACTACATCAGCTCTAAATAACTCACAATACTGTACAGGCAAGCAGGCTTTAAGGTGATGTAAGACGTTCTTAATTCGACAGGGAAAAAACCGCAAACACCTGACATTTATAAACAGCCATTCCACAAAGATAGACTTTTAATCTATTTTTGTTAAATAATAGTTAGATTTTCTTTCAACTGATTAAGTATAATGTCAATGTAATTGCTTTTCCCCCCCCATCACCTTTATTTAAAGGCTGTTTGCAAGCTCAAGTACCAAATGGACAGCATTACTGCAAGCAACGACAAAGCACAGGCGACAACAACACTGCACATTAGGCATGCCCACAGTCAGAGAATATATATTTTTGGCATTGATTTTCCATTGAAATTGAAGGGATGTATAATAGCAAAATTCTGGACGACTGTTTAAAATGTGCACCAATTTTTTTTTTCAGATCATCTTTCAGCTCTTCTATTTTTTGAATATCAATTATCAGAAAGATCAATGCAGATCACTTAACACACAGTCATAAACGGGAGGCGTTTCAGACATTGCTATGGTTCTGAAAGAGTCACAGAATCAAGAAGAAAATGTTTTTGTGTTCTTTGAATCATTTCACATAACGTAACATTAGTAACAGCGGATTTTCTGTACTGCGATGTTGCGCCACAAGCAATTTCTAAAAAGACTCAATGTGCCAAGATTATTCTGGTCAATATCTAGAAATGTATGTTTTAGGAACTGTATTTTACCTTCTGCTGGTCACAAAAAATTAGGTTCATAAGGGGTTGTTTGCACTTTTCACAGAATACTAGTGTCTACACAGTGAACTTTCCAAAAATTCTCCTATCGCTCTTCTATTACGGGTACAGTTACAGCAGCAGTAAAAACAATGGCAGCCCTTGAGAAGATTGGTCATGAATTTTTTTGTTTTCTTTTTTTCTCCAATCTCAAGTGCGCACACAAAATGCTCAAGGGAGGTTTATGGCTCCCACTGTCACTGGCTCTGATGAAGCAGCATCAATAGAATGGAAATTTCAGAAAAAAAGTCAAAAGTTCTGGCAGACGTTATGAAAAGTGTTTAAAAAGCATGATATCCACTCAGTAATTTTATTTTAAGAGAAACAAACAATATCACAGAGAAGGAACATATTTATTTCCCTAAACTTATGGTTAAGTGGAGTAAGAAAAACATAGTTTATATCAAAGGAACTATTTTAAATTAGCAATAAAACTGACACAGTTAAAAATATTTTAGTGGGTAATCAGTAAAATGTCTGACATATTTATCCCATGTGTGGAAAAATATTTTCATTGGGTTTTTTTTTGAATTATGGAGGTTACTCATGTAATGACTTCTAATGATACTAATTTGAGAAAAGGACAAGGTTTCCTCTGGGATTAAATCATTTTTCAACACAAAAAAGGGAAGCTAACAATGTCCAAATTCATGCCTGATGATCCTTCTTCCATTAGGAGAACAGAGATGACTTGATAAAGTGATGACTACTGAAAGTTTTTGAAACATCAATTCATGTCAAAGTAGCATTAACATTATTTTCTCTTAATGACAAGAAAAAACCTAAGATGATCATGAAGATCACCAAAAAGCTGAGCCTTCAAACTTAAGTGGCTGTAGCTTGGAAATGAACATTAACACGGTATGACACAACCAAAACATGAGATAATTGGTCTCATTTTTTTCCATGTTAGTGCAGAACATGAGTCTTAAACATCCCTCATGCTATCTCCATTGTTCATATAAATAAATATTTTAAGTTTCCATGTATTTTGCACCAGAATATAATTATTCAGTGTTTATAAAAATTCAAGACATTTACATGTAGTCATCTTTGTCTTTGTTCTACTTATGGAATAAAGAATGCTGTTTACGAAAAAAATTGAATCCAGCTGTAAATATTCAAATTGTGAAAGCATGAGGAAAATATCTCATTTCTAGAATATCAATAAGCCACAAGCTCTCCTTCAACAAAACTTTTACCTTATTCTATTTCACTTTCGCTTCCTTTTCTTGGAAAGCAGCATCGAACATGGATTTTCAAAATAAAGCTACCTTATGGCACTCATTTATCTTAGAACCACTACCTTTTAAAAATTACTTCATATTCTGTGGTGCATTTCATTAGAATTACGTTTTCTTCCTAATGAGAAAGTGGGACAAATTGTGCCTGGTTTTAATTTTCACAGGTCACCTGAGCTCCTACACCATTTCAGCAGGTGATTTCAAAGAGAAATTAGGCAAGTTAAGCGCATACAATGCAGTCGCTTCTGAGAACAGGACTTAGAATTTGAAATAGGCTAGATACTTTCGAAAATTATATCTTGATCACAAAATTTTAGCTCTTGCTACAGGAGAACACAATTTCTACTTTTCAAGTGCAGAATCAAAATTTATGCCAACTGGATAGTAGGGGCCATTGGTATTACTGTGATGATACAAAGAAATAGGTTTATTAGAGAATGATTTAGAAGTTTTCCTCAAGTGCACATTTTTAGCCACTTTAGGATGTGACTCTTGTTTGCTTTTCGAGTCTTTAAACTGTTCCTAGCATCTGTGACTTTGGGCACTAATGAAGGAATGAGCATACCAAAAGTCTCTATAGGTTCCCCAAGGGTTTGCAGGAGCATTCACCCACACAGATGAGATGATGAAGAGAGGAAAGAAAGAGAAGAAAAAAAAAAGTTTTATGCATTTCCACAACAAACACATAGAAAACACAAATACATTCCACCCTTTTCCCTCCCCACTCAAGAATGGACCCTGTAATAAACCAGCCCTTTCCCACACAGACAGAATGACTCATGCTAAATCACACAATGTTTGAGCAAAGAAATGAGAAAAAAAGCCAAAGACAGCTAAATTCAGTATGAAAAAAAGATGATGCATCACAGAAATAAGCACAGCTTACAAAACCTCAGGAGATCAAGCTGGCATCTTTAATAATTAATCTATTCCAAGACACACACATCCGAGGAACTGTTGCTAACAAAAGTGTATCTATCTTCATTGCAGCATGTGCATCACAATAAAACCTGCAACTGGGTGATCTTCCCACTACTTAGCACTTTGTTCCAAAAGACAGCATGTGTGAATTGCATGGCATGTGGTGGATAGCACAGAAATGGCGAACAGTCTCCAAAAAAAATTCACAATCAAATTTCAGTCCTGTTACCCAACAGCAGCAACAAAACCCCTTGACAAGTCTAAACCACACAGCTGAAGTTGCTGCATGCATACAGGCATCCTGTACAGTTGCCATTTAAGTATGATTTCATTTTGTAAGAAAAAAAAAAAGCCACAGGAAAGAGGTGTTGAAGAGCAAGGATTCCTCATATATGGCTGAGTGAAGATGAAGATGCAAGGAGTGGATGCAAAGACCAGCAAACAGACCCTATTCAGGCTGGTTTCACTGGTACAGCAGAAGTTGGAGCAAAGGAGGCTGAAACGAAAGGAGGAAAAGCTGCTGCTTGAGAAAGGAAGGTGCTGGAAGGTGAGAGCAAAGCAGAAGTAATGGCACTGGCACAGTGAGGGCCACAGCAGGAGTCAGAACACCTTGGAAGTGTCAGGAAGGACACCAGCTGGAACTGGAGAGGGTGCACAAGTAGTCGAGAGATTAGGTAAGCACAAACACACAGCGCAAACCTAGCTCTTCATGACTAGCAAGAGCGCTCGTTGTCAGGAGAACCAAGTTTTATGCAATGCAAGCACCCAAAGCATATAGTAGGACATCTGAGGAGGTTCAGAAAAAGGTAGTAAGAAATCAGGTAACGACCAAAGAGTTACGACTGAAAGAACTGAAGCAGCTTTATAACTTCTGCCTGCTTCAGTTCAAACCCTGAAATGCTACAGGTGCACACACAGCTGGGCAAGACACAAGCCAACCCCTCGCATATCCCAGCAGCCGTGAGGGGCCTGCGGGAGCTGTGCTCAGAGCCAAGGCAACTGGTGACAAGCAGGAAAGCTGCTGGAAGAGATTTCTAAGGGAAGTGGAACTCGAGATCAAGAGGTTCCTAGGTAATACTGGCATACAAGAAGGTATTAAAAAAAACCCAAACAAACAAACCAAAACCGAAATAAATGAAGAAACCTTAAGACACACAAAGCCAAAAGCCCCCGAACCCACCCCCAAGCAGCAGATGTGTTATCTAACACTACATTCACACAATGCCCCATGTTTTTGTTTATCGATTAACTTTTGTATGAAAAGTTAACAAACATTAAAAAATTGTTAACGAATGGTATATGAGTACTATAAACAGTACTCTGGCCAAAAACACAGCTTAAGGGCAGGTGAATCAGAGGAAAGCTCCTGAAAAAACCTAAGAGGTTTAGGGCCTCTCAGCTGCAGGGGTGCAATGGCAGCAGAGGAAAAGGCTCCATCTGTGGATGGAGCAGTCCTGAAGAGTTACTTTGCCTTCCTCCCACCTCCCACATGCACTGTATTTGTTATTCTCAAGCACATCTCCCACAAGAGCCAGCAAGGCAGATTTTTTTTTTTTTTTTGAAAAAAAATAAAGTATCTGGATAGGATTCATGGCAAGAAAGCAAGAACTAAACTGATTAAGACTAAACATTGGGCACTACTACAAACACCCATCTGCTGTGCTAAATGCCAATCTCTGCTTGGTATTTAAAATGCCCTTTATCAAAATACAATTCAATTTCTGTTCTAAAACTATAATATAATCACTTAAGTCTGGAATTAAAAGCGGTCTTTAAATCTCCAAATTTAATTTAATGGAAAAATAAATACGTATGAAGAGATTCTGGTAAATATATGTGTAATTTCATTTTTATAAAAAACAACGTTCATAGTCTTAAACACTATTGAGATGCATACAGATGCCTCAGTGAATCCTGTGGTTATGGTACCACATTTCAGAAGGAAGTGAGAAGCATACGATTCAAGTTTTAAGTCCCATTGTTAAACCATTAACCTGTTGCCTGAAGTATCTTTGAAGTTCTATATTAGAAGGAAAAAAATCTCATGAGGCTTA